CTCTACTTCTTTTGTATCTTTGTCACTCTCTTGTGACCTGCTATTTCCGGGGTGCCTTCATAGTCCAAGTAGACTTTGTGCTGTTGAAGCTAGAGAAGTGAGCAGAGCAAGTCTGATTCCCTGTAAGGACTTCTCTGTTGACATCCACCCCCTTGGCGCTCATCATATGACCTTATGCAGTTCTGAGCGCCGTAAAACCTCTACTAAAACTTTTTTTTTAAAACCCTCTTTTTTTAAGCATGTAAAGTGTGGTTATTTTCTTTACGGTTTTATGTCTTCTTGTACTGTGCAAAGTTTTGACAGGACAGGAGAGTCCCTATGTTGTCCCTATCAGAACTCAGTTTTTGTGGGGTTTTTTGTGCTTTTTCTTAAGTGTGTACTTGTAACATTCTTTTCTGAACTAGAAGTGTCTTCATCCATTTTGGCTGTATTACAAAAACAGCATAATTCTTTTGTTCTAGGGTTCTCATTTTTTCTCAGTCTCTTCTCTGTATCGCTCGTTTTCTCTCTCATTCTTGATGGCAATGATGATGATGATGATGATGATGATGATGATGATGATGATGATGACAATGATGTATGCTGCTCTATAGTTGCTTAAAAAATTATCCCTGGATGCTAGTACTTCAATTACTACTTAGTAGTGTTTCAGCATAAATGCTCCTCTAGCTTGCCAACATTGTTATGAATGTAGGATGTACCTTTTGAAAAGAGTGACGTAGACTTGGTAGAATGAAGATTGTTTTGGGATCCATTTGTATAAAAAACAGTATAATCAATGGTGAAAATTATAAAACTTGCAATAATATAGATGACAATGGCATTGATTATAATGGATCACTTTGATTTCCTCTCTGTGGATACTCAATATGCTTTTCTGCTGCTTATTGTTTTGCCTCCCTTAGAATGTGAACCCTTATTGTAGGGTTTTTTTGGTCTGTGTGTGCTGTTAAAGTACACAATGAAAAGTCAGGGTAAAGATTAAGGACAGTCAGGTACAGCAATATCAAAAATATTTAAGCTGTATTTCCTGAAACGAATACATATGTATTGGTTTTATTTGTTTGATCTGTTTTGTGTTGTTATATCTTGTTTTTGTTTTTCTTGATTGTTTTACATGGGGTTTTTTGCATTGATTTTTTGTTGTTTTTGTTGTTGTTGTTTTGGGACTTTGTTTTTTTTTTTGTGGGGGTGGGTTGTTGTTGTTTTG